GGTGGACCCCAAACCCTCAGGTTGCCTTGCACGACGCGGAGGGCGGCTGTTATTAGCATGTGCCAATGTGATTCATGGGTAAGCCATGGTTCTGCTGCTGTTGCTTCGAGCCAGCTGCTGTCCTGTGCTCAATCCCAACCAGTTGGTGATTGAATGCCTCCATTGAATGCCTCCCTCGAAGCTTTGCTTGGCCTAATAATGGCCCGCCGAGGGTCTGGCCACGCAGCTCGTCCATGCTTCATGTAACCAATAGTCCCCATCCTATTCACAGCATCCTCCCACGTATTCGCTACCCCCCATCTAGGTTTATGTGCCATGCTTTGGGCCTGTGTCTTACATTATACTCCCGCTCCACGAGGCTGCCGGTGTCACCCCGAGTCGGAAACAAGGTCCGGCCTGACTCGAGCCTCGCTGGCCAACCCAGACGGCCCTCGGACGAATCGCGCTGGCCAAGCAAAGGGGTCAAAACTTGCGTTGCGCTGCTGCCCTCCAGTGCGCCAGTCTCAGAGTGCGAAGCAATTTCGATGCCTCGCAACAGCGACCATATTGCGACGGCTTATGAGAAAGTGGCAAAACATGCTCAAACACCAGGGTCAGCCTTTCATATTTCTCCCCCACACCCATTGAGCAGTGAGGGTTCATCACAATTTCGTGACTACCGGCACCATCGCAGATCCAAGCCACCATGCGATCCCTCGCGGTTGCGATCGCAAAGAAAAAAGCAACTAGAGACGATGAGCGGCGCCGCATCGTCAAACCGCCAACGCAGGGCCCCCTCCCCTTCGTGCTCCAGTCAAGTCGCCGCCGTCGCTGCCGCGGCCTGGCGGCTAAAATCCTGAAAGCCGGCTGGCGGAGATTAGAGGAGGCGCTCGCTGTTGCTCCCACAATTTCGAGGGCCATGTTCTTCACTGTCTTGGCCATATCTGAAACAACGGGGTAGACCCCTGAACCCGCAATCTGGAAAGCCTCACGAAGTCCGAAAAATAAAGTCGGTCGGAGACAAGATCAAAGAGAAGACGATGAGAGTGGAGGGAAAAAAAACATCATTGCGCTTTCGGCAACAGATCCGCCGTCCATCGTGTCCCATCGGCGAATGTCTTGACGTCCCGTGCATCTGTCATCATGGCCGCCGAAATGGCCTTGGCAGCCCTGACAGCCCATGTCGTGGCCCAGGTGCTTTTCACAAAACGCAAAAGTACAGCCTCTCCAGACATGGCTGTGTTTCCCTTTCGTGGGCCGGGTGATGGTTTTTCCGAAAGAGAAGTGTCGTGCCGTCAGAGCCCTGACGCCATTCAAGACCAGAATGGGTTCTTCTCGTCAAGCTTTGCAAGGCTAGACACACTGGCTTGTGGCTGCTTTGAGCGACGGACATGGAAACGCGCATCTTGTGCCGCGTCGTTTCAGCCGCAACGGGGCCTGCCGGGGGTGTCTCTGTCTTCACGGACACTCAATCTCCATCAGATCTTGCTGCTCTGCCTCTCGTCTTGGTCCCTCCGAATCCCTGTGTGCCAAGCATCAATAAACAACGCTCGGGGCCAGATGGGCTGGTCGGCAGCAGACAATCGCTTTCCCCTGCGAGGATCGTTGCCTCGTCGATGAGGTGGTTGTCACGGTGTCTGCCGTCTCAACTCTGTCCAGGGCGACCGAGTGTCATTATGCAGACTAGACTTCTCTCGGAAGCACCCTCGCCTCTTCCTCGAAAGGAAGCCTCAGCCTGTCGCGCCACGAGACCTCTCTGGCCGTGGCAGAGCCTCAGACGTGTCTACCTTGCGGGCCGCTCATCAGCTGACTGGTAAATCCAATGCCCCGTGTGTGTTGCTAGGCAATGCGCAGTATCCCGTGACAAACCCCTGTATCCAAAGCATGTGACGTCCCCAGGCAAGCTGTCGACAGAAAATCTGGCATTCCTAAAATCCTTCACCTAATAACACCACTACAACCACCAAAATGACCGATTTTCCACACCATAATACACCTACAAAATCTGGGGTCCTAGAGGCTGCTACCTTTATTAATAATCCAGAACGTGTTAATCACTGGATTGATTCAATGCCGTAACGGATCAGGGATGTGGTAGCTATGGAGGGTAGAATGACTAGTTGGAGTGATTTTAGGAGTGCCAGATTTTCTGTCGACAGCTTGCCAGGAAGATGACGAGGCAAACGATGACTTGGGCGGCAGGCAACACGTGCTGGGGCGCGGACGCTCCCACCCACGAGAATATGCTGCATCTGCTCGCAACCGCCCCTCCATAGCTCCGCGTCTCGTGATGACGATGGTGGTGACTTGTCGGACTGGCTACCCGAGGGGAGGCAGGCACAGGAAGGGATGAAAGCGGGATTCAGCCTCCATCGGGACGCGAGCGTGAGGACCAGAATACAATCGCTCCGGCAACGTCCTCCGAGGATCCATCATCCCTGGCCGCAGCCTGGCTGCATCCACTTGAGGTTTGACAGCAGACTGCGCGCCTCGCCATGGGTCTTCGGGGTTGCTCCTGAGATACTTGGCGATCCTCCGAAACAGTCTCACCGTACGATGCCCATCAAAGCAACAGGGTCCCACTATAGCTTTCGTCGTGTCAAGATGGCGCCCTCTTTGTCGATTCAGGGACTGAGTCGAAGCTCTTTGTTTGATGGCGTGGCAAGCTGCCGGCGACGAGTGCTTGACATTGAGTGGTCGGAAGCCGGCCGTCCCATGTCCAGCGCGGGGCGGCCAGATTTGTAGGGTTTCGATACATTGTACGTCGCAGTGAGATGCTCATGGCATGGGTGATCACTTTCACAGCAACATCAGGTGAGGCGATGCTGTTTGAGCGCATGTGCTTGGCAATGTTGTCTGAAGACTTCTATCATCCGATTATTTGTAGTCATCAGGTTCTGGCATCGAACTGATTTTTATTTGACTGCCGACACTTATTGAGATGAGATTCTGTCTAGGTCAGTAAGAGACCTCCTTCTGAGTGCCAGCCCTCGCGTTAGTTGACTGCCGAAACACAC